TACTTTTTAAAGAGTATGTGTTTATAGGGCAGAAAACCCAGTTCTTCTGGCCAGAGAATTGCGTTTCCTGAAATCCTATGAAGTAAGATGATATGTGGGATTCCCCCAATATTAATCTGACAATTGAGCTAATTAAATTTTACCTGTCTGTAAAACGTGATCTATGCAATCAACTTGTAGTTAAAATGCAAGGATACACGTATGCATGCAGGTAAAGTGATAGATCCTCCCTTAGAGGGAGAGTAAATTCAATGTAAGATTGATCTAATCCAAACATGTATGAATAATTATTAATTACCAATTATTAATTAATTTATGCAAATTCCCCACGGATTAGATCCGCCCTGAATCCTTACATCTGGCGTGGCTGTTGTATGATTTACGGAGTTGTTAGGGTCCCACCTCTGATGTGCAGGCTGTCTCAGGTAAGTAGAATCTACATGTGGATCTGAATGTCTCTTTTTCTGTGTTTGCACAGGAGGAACGTTTCCAGGGGTGTGATGTGTGCTGTTCACTGCTAGTTGAGATTTCACAGGAGCTATTTGTAAGCGAGAATCTTCATTGTCGATTCTGAGGTTACTCATTTCTTGTTTGACTTTCTCTACTGCAGGTTGTAAAGATGTGTGCATAGATATGGGTTCTGATGCACTACTGCTGTGTTGCAAAACGTACTCACTTGTCCGCTGTGCAGCGTTGGATGGTGAATGTGGTAAGTCAATGTCATGACGAGAGTCTATCTCTGCATTTTCCACAGCAGCCACAAACACTGCCTCTTCTGCTGTGGCTGTAGCTGCCTCCTTTTCTTGTTTTAGAATGTGCATTTTTGCTTTTAATGTTGCCTCTTCGACCATCATCTCCGCTTCTTTCTTAGCGAATGAAACCTGTATGCGGGCAGCTTCGGCTCTGGCACGAGCTCTGAGTGCTGCAGAGCTTGCTGTTGATGATTTGCTACTCGATTGGGCGATGGATCTAGTCACCATGGACTGATGTATTTCTTCTGTGTTACTCCGATCATCCATCTTGTTTGCTTGGATGATGCTGGGTCAGCAATGCTGAATCAGTGTTGGACTGCTTCGTGAAGAACTTGGTGTATTACTGTCTTCTTACTATTCTGCCCTCGCATGTACGACGTCTGATTTGTACAGCTAGACAGATAGTTAACAGCAAATGAAGAGAAACTCCAGAAGTCTTGATGAGGATTGATATTTTATCTTTTGTTCTCTTTTTTCCTCAGTTTTATTTCTCAAGTTTTTCCCATTTAAGTCTGTAAGACTGAAAGAGTAAACAGAAAATAAACATTACAAAAGTGTAACGTCTGTTGTCTTTTTTTACACAATCAAATATAAAGTTACTCAGTAAGTCAATATGGTTAAACAGTAGGCTATTCTCTGTGTCAACACTTTACACAAACTACAGATGTTCTTAGGCCTAACTTACTGTATAGAAATTAAACAAACATCCTCAGTAACACCAAACTATCTGCTAAACTGTTACAGGTATAATCTACATAAATTAACAGATGTAAATAAATCAACTAATTAATCTGAGGCGAAGCGCCGAGGCTCGTGGCTGAGCAGATAAATCAGAGAGTCAGAAAACAATAGGCTTCAATCTAGAGCATATGCGATGAAGTCACGAACGTAATAACACACATTACTTAATGTAAACATATACATCATACATAAACCACAATTCTGCCGAAAAATTACTTACAGACAAAGATTTGACCAAACTCTGTAATGACGCAGACTCGTGGGTGATTTCAGCGCTGTTGCTCGGCTCGAACACTAGGTCCGTCACTAAAAACGGGTCCGACTAGGAAACGAACTAAACGCCGAAAGGCGGAACACTGTCCTTGTCCAGAAAGGAAATAAAGACATCATCAAAGTAGTCCATGTGACATCAGTGGGTTAGTTAGAACGTTTTGAAGCATCGAAAATACATTTTGGTCCAAAAATAACAAAAACTAGGACTTTATTCAGCATTGTATTGTCTTCTGGTTCTGTTGTGGATCCGCGTTCAGTGCCGCTGCTCAGGGGCGCTGGAAGTCATTTTGAACAGGGGGTGCAGTTTTTTTTTATGTTTTTGTTTGTTTTGGACAAAAAGCCTATTGAGCACAGCAATACCAGTGTTTCTCACAGGATTTTTGGTAAAACTGTGTGTGAGTGGACCTCTGTCCCTCTAGGGGGGTTCGGGGGCATGCTCCCCCGTAAGAAAATTTTGTGCTTTTTAATGTTAAATTCATCAATCTGGTGCACTTTGAGAGTTAAAAATTAAAAGCTCCAACCCATATTCAGTGTGCAAATTAAACAAAGAAAAATTTAAACCTCTTTTAGTTACAGTGTCTTTCTATTACTACTACATAATAATAGTTATAATATTAATCCCATGATAGTAATAGCCATATATTGTAAAACAAATGCACTGAAAAATAAAGGAAACTTTCATAATTAGTTTTGTACTAATTTCTATATTTGAAAGAGTACATTTCTATACTTCACATTAAAGATGTGATTGGGCAAGCCCAGTGTCAATCAAGAAAATAACCAATGGGCCGCTGATCTACGTGTTTCATGGGATGTCAGAAAAAAAACTAACGCTGACTTTTTTTGGACCAATGCATTACACCGGCTCTAACCCAGCGCCAAAACGAATGGGCCGCCGATGTACGAGTTTTATGGGCCGTTAAGACAACAAAACAAAACAAAAAAAAGTATGAGATTGACAATTGACATGCAATCTCCTTTCCCCTCTTTCTTTTTCTATTTTTAGCCCCCGACAGCTTTTTTGCTTTATCCATCTTTTTCGACAACAACTCGCGATATTATCCTCCCCCTCTTCTATGTCAAAATTATATGATGGAATCTTATGAGGGCGCCTAGCCTGTTAGTCCTCTAAAATGTTTTATAACATTGAAATGCAGAAATGATTTAGAAACGCACAACAGCAGCTACATATAATCAAACGTATAATGTGCATAATTTATTACACGTTTTATCCTGTTGTTGACATTAGCCTACATTACATCCAGGTTGCTGCCACTCGTCTCCATATAAATGAACAATTAACTAACATTATTGGTTAATAACAGTGGGTTAAATAATGACATTTGCAACATCTCGGTCTGTATCTGACAGGACAGCTAACATTGTCAGCTAACTTGCCTCAGGCTTGCTTTCCGACGTGCAGTTCTTTGTTCGGCAGTGTGTCCAGTTGTTAGACTCGCCGTGTAAAAGACTTTGAAAACAATTCTGCCCTACTCTGACTCGGATTGGCTGTCAGGTCTCGGCAATGAATGATGATTGTTTTTTTAAAGCTGCGAAGTTTATGGTAACTATAGAGATATAGCGGGTAAATGCTGGCCACGGCCACGATCCCCACTTTCTGTCTCCAACCTTTTTACACAAACCCCAAGGAATCTCCGAAAAAATAATAATAATCAGAAATCCGTTTCTGTGCCATATTTCCTCCTCGTTTCTGTCATTAGACTATGTAAATGTAGGCTATAGTCTGCTGCTGCCATTGCCCATGGATGGATGTATGCTGCTGCTGCATGGAACGAGCGGGAAACCTCTACTCGGCGAGGACTAGCCTGCCTGCCTGCCTTGACGGTGACAACGTAACTTGAACAGTGTTGATTAGGCCTCAAAATAATGAAATTAAAATCCAAAATACACGTAATAGCTTTCGTGTGTCAAAATCATTTCCTAAAATATTCATAAGGAATTTATAAATTGTTCAAAATATTTTTAATACATTTTTTAAAATTCTCCCTCTCGCCAATAGGGGGTGCTGCAGCACCCTCAGCACCCACACTTCCCGCGTCCCTGCCGCTGCTGACGTAAGACGCTGCTGACGTGTGTCTGGTGCGTCCGTGTATTCGGGTTCAAATAAATATGGCTGGGCAAAAAAATGCAAGTCTTCCTCTGTGTGGAAATCCTTAGACATGTTTGTGAAGATTGTTTTGTTTCCAGCGTGCGTCTCCCTCAGACTGTAAACGAAGCTCGGACGCACCAGACACACGTCAGCAGCGTCTTACGTCAGCGGCGGCACTGAACGCGGATCCACAACAGAACCAGAAGACAATACAATGCTGAATAAAGTCCTAGTTTTTGTTATTTTTGGACCAAAATGTATTTTCGATGCTTCAAAACGTTCTAACTAACCCACTGATGTCACATGGACTACTTTGATGATGTCTTTATTTCCTTTCTGGACAAGGACAGTATACCGTACATACATTTTCAATGGAGGGACAGAAAGCTCTCAGACTAAATCTAAAATATCTTAAACTGTGTTCTGAAGATGAACGGAGGTCTTACGGGCTTGGGACGACATGAGGGAGAGTCATTAATGACATCATTTTCATTTTTGGGTGAACTAACCCTTTAATGAAAGTTGTAAATGTATGTTATGTTAGGAAACCGGACACGACTTCGTATGCCGTGCGAATTGGCCTTTAATATACATTGTTGCCAGATTGGGCGGTTTTGAATTTGATAGTGGGGGGAAAAATTGGTTTGGGCAGGTAGACAAAATTTGGGCTCAGAGGTTTCCCGACATCTAAATTGTATAGTCTAATTGGTTAATAAACAAAACTCAAGTGTGCTTATTCAATAAAATTAGTCAGCATGAAGTTACTAAACACCGGGCCTTTTTTTTGTGTGTTAACCGTGAGGTAATATAAAAAGACGACATGTTTTAGATAAAGAATGATTCGAGACATTTTAGTTTTTTTGTACTTGTACTTTGTCATCCTTATTATTTGTCACATTTCAAGTCATTGAAATTTAGAGAAAAAATCTCAAAACATGAAATCTTTTTATATTATCTCAAAGTTCTGTTATGTGGACATATTCAGAAATGAAGCAAACTGCTTTACAAGCGCAGGTGTTTAAACATGCCCAATATGTTTTTCTTCTCTCACTGGTCATGTGACACTGTCAAAAGTGAAACTATTTCAACAGACTCCATTTTGTGAAGAACATCCGGAGAAAAAACGGTGAATAATGAGAACAGATCAGTTTAATGCTGTTATCTAGAGACAGATTGGATTTATGAACTGGTTTGTGTTGGATGTTCTTCATTATTGAGACAGAGGTAGGTTTCAACAAACACACTTCTGGATTCATTCTCATGCATTTTTTAATAATGGCATGTGTAAATATGTGTTATAATCTATTGTAATATCAATCTATTTTGATGCTTAGTTTTTTTTTCTCTTGATAGCCTTCCAAAACCGAATACCTGCTGATAAAACAGAAATATTACAGAAAGTTAACTGTCCTGTAAAAAATTGTTATATCGGTTTCTTAGGAAGCATCGTGTTTTGAGTCATAAATGCATTAAAACATGCAGGTTTCCATTTTGCAGTTTCTTAAACCATTAAACGGGTTTGTTGTCTTTCCACACAGCCAAGGATACTCTAGTGTGTATTAGTGTAGCTTAGAATTCAGTCATACTGAAATTAATAAAGCATACCCAAGACATGTATATGTTTCTTAAATGTTTCATTCTGTATGTCTAAAGATTTAATTTGTTGTACATTGTGTGTTTTAATAGCTCCGCCTGTAAAATGAGTCTCTACAAGCAGCGAAAAGAGGGTGTGTCTGTTCAGGCACGTAAAGCAGCATCTCCAGAGCCCAGCTGTGTGTCTATGAAGAGTGACGCATCCATGGACCCTCCCCCTAAACTCAGTGATGGAGCAGTGACCTCTGACCCTGAGTGAGTATAATGTCATTTCAAACTTTCAAGTAGACATTAAGACATTAAAAACATTGGTGACACACGTCAAGTCAGTTTTATATATAGACACAATCAGATGTTCCCTTTCGAGGGAACTCTCGATGCGTCACTTGACGCTTTGGGAACGCCCCCAGCGTGAATGCGTCTGAGCATCAATGTCAACTAGTCCAATGGAAAGAATGAGCGTCACGGGCGGGTGACGTCATGACCAGGAAGGGATAAAGGCATACCCGGTGAAACGCGGCATTAGCTTCTGTGTCTCAGCAAGCGATCTGTGTCATTTTGTCTCTGTCTATTTACTGTTGTCTGTTGCGGAAAAGGATGGAAACTAAACAAGTCTACAAACAGTGTGCTTCTCCCTGCCCGCGTTATTTAACGGGTGGGGTCACACACGAGCTTTGTGTCATTTGTTTGGGAGTGGAGCATGCGGTCTCAGCCTTCGAGGGGGCTGAGTGCCAGCATTGTGAGATGCTACCGCTTCGCATGCTCCGCTCTCGCCTGTCACTCTTTGATAAAGAGAGTGGGCAGGCTCGCGATCCGCAGGGATCAGGACCCGCGTCTGTCGAGGCAGCGCGGAGAATGCATTCCTGGGGATCGCAAAAGGATCTTTCGGAGGGGTTGGAGACGGGTCCGAGGGCTCTTTCTCCTTCCTTACCCGAAAGATCCAGCGCTCTCCCCCCGGTGTCGGAAGCACGCTCTGCGGTTTCATCCGCCCGGGGAGAGAGCCCTCCATTACTTCATTGCTCTTCCTCCGAGGAGGTCGATGCTATGAGTTTGGAGAGTGAAAGCACACACATGGGGGAAAGAGATTCACAATTTATTTCCCCAGCATATGATGAGCTGGTGGATGTTATGTCGCGGGCTGTAGAAAAATTAAAGATTGAATGGCCATCTGATAATAGGGGCGCTCGTCCTAAAAGTAAATTAGATGAGCGCTTTTTATCTTCTACTGCTTCATCTCCACCACGAGGGCTTCCATTTTTTCCTGATCTTCACAATGAGATTTCTAAATCATGGAATAAACCATACTCATCACGACTTTTCAGCCCTCAAATTAATATTTATTCAAGAATTAGAGGGCTGAAAGAGTATGGTTATGAGGCGATGCCCCAGGCGGAACAGAATTTAGCCAGCTATCTTTCCCCTGGTCCCGCATCGTCTCTGAAAGCCTCGGCTTTGCCCACTAGACCGCTCAAAGCCACTTCGGTGTTAGTGGGCAAAGCTTATACGGCAGCAGGTCAAGCTGGAGCATGTCTGCATACTATGGCAGTGCTTCAGGCTTATCAAGCTGACCTGCTGGGGGATCTGGATAATAGTGAGGGAGTTAGTCATGACGATATTCGAGAACTTCGTCGGGCTACCGATCTTTCTCTCAGGGCTACTAAAGAGACCGCCAGAGCAATTGGGCGGTCTATGGCAGCTTTGGTAGCTACTGAGAGACATTTATGGTTGAATCTTTCAGAGATTAAAGAAAAAGATCGTGCTTTTTTGTTAGATGCTCCGCTTGAACCTTCTGGTCTCTTTGGTGACGCAGTCCATACGGTCGTCGAGAGATTTCAGGTATCAAAAAAGCAAGCGGACGCTTTCAAAAAGTTTATCCCTCGCCGTGTCCAGCCCCCTGGGGCTGCTGGGCGTGAGCAGCCCCAGCCATCAAGCTCGTCATATCGTGTGCATCAGAAAGAGAGTGTTGCGTCTCGTGCACCTCCACGTGGAAACTGGAGACAGACGCAACCCTTTCAGCCGAAGTCTTCTAAGTCGAAGCCGGATCTGAGGACCGTTCTTCAGGCGAAGAAGACTTCGGCTCAAAAAAGGTCCTGATGTTTATGCATCAGGCCTGTGAGGACAGCCCCGACCGAAATAGAGTGGTGTACACCTCATTATACGGTGCCCGTTCCATTTCGGGGTCCTCACGAGACCGTTCTGCCAACCCTGCCACCCTTGGTGCTTCAGGGCACAGCGGTCTCCAGCGAGTCGCTGATGCTATGCTGCGGCACAGCATCGGTTTCGCGCCCTCTGAGGGGGGCTTTAGAGCGGCCAGTTCAGGTAGTTCCTGCCATTATGTTTCAGGCTCCGGAATTAGCTGTCTCGATAACACCAGAGACCAGCCTCGAGAAGCTGGTTCCTTTAGTAAATTTTCTGGCAGCGTGGAAGCTTCTGCCGAATATTTCTCGTTGGGTCCTGCAGATTGTAGAGAAAGGATACAGAATCCAGTTTGGTTCTCGTCCTCCTCGTTACAACGGGGTGCTGCCCACAGTGGTGCATCCCGAGCAGGCTCTGGTAATGGAGCAAGAGGTAAAGGCCCTGTTAGCAAAGGAAGCTATAGAACAGGTGTACTCACCCGACAGAGAGTCGGGTTTTTACAGCCATTATTTCATTGTTCCAAAAAAGGATGGGGGGTTGCGTCCCATTTTAGATCTTCGTCTGTTGAATCGTTCAGTACAGAAACTTAAGTTCAAGATGCTGACACTCAAACAGATCATGACTCAAATCAGATCCGAGGACTGGTTTGTCACGATAGATCTAAAAGACGTATACTTCCATATCTCCATCCTCCCTCAGCACAGGAGGTTCCTGAGGTTTTCTTTGGGGCAAAGAACACCAGTATCAGGCACTTCCTTTCGGTCTAGCTCTATCACCCCGCACATTCACGAAGTGTGTAGACGCAGCTCTGGCCCCGCCAGGTTGCAGTGTATACGCATTCTGAATTGCATAGATGACTGGCTGATTCTAGCGGAATCAGAACAGTGAGCGGTTCGGCACCGAGGTGTCGTTCTCGCTCATATGCAGATGTTGGGGTTGAGGCTCAATGCCAAGAAAAGTGTGCTTTCTCCAGTACAGAGAACCACTTTCCTTGGTGTGGTATGGGATTCAGTGACGATGCGGGCCACTCTGTCGCCCGTTCGTGTAGCTGCTATCCTAATAGCCACAAAAGAGCTGAGGCTAGGCCAGTCACGCACTGTAAAACAGTTCGAGAGACTGTTGGGTCTTGTGGCAGCAGCGTCCAACGGGATACCTTTTGGCCTGCTGTACATGAGACCTTTACAGTGGTGGCTCAGGACCAGAGGGTTCTCCCCGAGGGGAAACCCACTTCGTATGATCAAGATCACGCGGCGGTGCCTTCGTGCCTAGGTTATATGGAGGAAACACTGGTTCTTAGCCCAGGGTCCGGTGTTGGGAGCTCTTTGCCATCGAGTTGTGATCTCGACAGATGCTTCCCTCACCGGCTGGGGAGCGGTATTGGAAGGCCGCTCAGCTCAGGGCTTGGGAGGAGTCATCATCTCGCTTGGCACATGAATTGCCTAGAGATGATGGTCGTCTTCAATGCGTTGAGACATCTCCTCCCAGACCTGAGGGGCCATCATGTGTTGTTCTGAAACAGTGACTGTTGGGCCTCAGGGCAGCAGCGTTCAATGCTTTGACCTGCTGTACGTGAGACCTTTACAGTGGTGGCTCAGGACCAGAGGGTTCTCCCTGAGGGGAAACCCACTCCGTACGATCAAGATCACGCGGCAGTATCCCCGCGCCTTGGTTATATGGAGGAAACTCTGGTTCCTGACCCACAGACAACACGTTGGTGGCCTATTATTTTGGTCCCTCAGGAAATTACGCTGTCTGAGGGCAGTGTATATTCCAGGGGGGCCAGAATATTGGAGCAGACACCCTGTCGAGGCAGGGGCTGAGGCCAGGGGACTCCACCCCGAGGCGGTGGAGCAAATATGGGAGTTAAATGGCCAGGCAGAAGTGGATTTGTTCTCGTCTCAGCATACGACGCACTGTCCACTCTGGTTATCCCTCACTCAACCAGTCCCCTCGGGGCTGGTTGCGATGGTGCAGACGTGGCTGAGGCTACGTCTGTACGCATTTCCCCCTGTTGCTCTGCTCCCATGAGTTCTGGAGTGATTCCGCCAGGATGGAATAAGCCTATTTAGTAGCACCACCCTGGCCGAGCTGAATTTGGTTTGCGGACCTAATTTTTCTCCTCGACGGACCTCCCTTGGAGGTCCCGATCAGGAGAGACCTTCTGTCTCAGTATTGCACCCCCGGCAGGGGATTTGGAAACTGTGGGTTTGGCCTCTGAGGGGGCCCAACTCATAGAGAGTGGTCTCTCAACCGAGGTTGTTGAGATCATTCTAAGCTCCAGAGCTCCCGCTACGAGGAAACTATATTCACTATTTCGAGAGTTTTTCACTTCTTGGTGTTACCAGCGTCAGTGGGATCCGGTTAACTGTTCAGTAAACACAGTATTCGAGTTTCTGCAAGAACGCTTTGTATCAGGTCTATGTCCTTCCACGCTTAAGGTATACGTGGCGGCCATTGCGGCTTTCCACGCCCTGGTGGGTAGTACATTTTGGGGTCGAGACCCCCTGATCACTCGTTTCCTTCGTGGCACTTTGAGGCTGAGGCCTGCAACTTGCACTAGGGTGCTGGCTTGGGACCTTGCAATAGTTCTAGAAGGCCTATCTGGGGCTCCCTTCGAGCCCTTAGATTTGGTCTCAGAGAAGTTCCTTTCTTTAAGACTATTTTCTGCTAGCTATTTCGTCCCTATTAGAGTCAGACCTTCAGGCCCTTTCGGTCCCCACCTGCCTTGAGTGCACCGGGGATGGCCAAGGCATTCTTACCGAAACATGGATATGTTCCAAAGGTGCCTACCATTATTCCGAGGCCTATTGTGCTGCAGGTTTCTGTCCTCCTTTTACATCTGCGGACCAGGAAAGGCTGAACCTCTTGTGTCCAGTGCGAGCACTGGATACTTATGTTCATCGGACATCTTCAATGAGGAAGTCCGACCAGTTATTTATTTGCTTTGGATCACCTAAGAAGGGTCTTCCTGCTTCTAAACAGACGGTTAGTAAGTGGATAGTCGAGGCTATTTCACTTGCATACGAGTACTCTGACCATCCGTGTCCCTTGGTGGTCATTCTACGAGGGGTATGGCGGCCTCTAAAGCCTTGTTATTTGGGGTTTCTCTCCAAGACGTTTGTGATGCGGCAGTCTGGTCCTCACCGCTCACATTCGTCAGGTTTTACAGTTTGGACCTGGATGCTGCCCCAGGTTCTCAGGTGCTTAGTGCTTAGTTCCAACAGACTGACACTCAGGTACTTGGAATTCTGGCGTTTTGGGTATTCTCGTTCCCAAAGCGTCAAGTGACGCATCGAGAGTTCCCTCGAAAGGGAACGTCTCAGGTTACGACTGTAACAGTAGTTCCCTGAGAAAGGGAACGAGACGATGCGTCACCCTGCCATACTTCCTGCATCCCTGTGATCGGCTTGCTTCAACTTTTTGAAGCTAATGCCGCGTTTCACCGGGTATGCCTTTATCCCTTCCTGGTCATGACGTCACCCGCCCGTGACGCTCATTCTTTCCATTGGACTAGTTGACATTGATGCTCAGACGCATTCACGCTGGGGGCGTTCCCAAAGCGTCAAGTGACGCATCGTCTCGTTCCCTTTCTCAGGGAACTACGGTTACAGTCGTAACCTGAGACGTTTCTCAGTCTGAATGATCAAATGTGTTTTCGTCATCCATTTTGCAATAGGTTGAAATGCCAGACAGACTCACTTAAAGGGGTCATGACACGAGAAATCAAATTTGCCTTGTTCTTTTGACATATAAGAGGTCTTTGTACCATTACATTTATTTAATTAAGCTCCAAAAACAGCTCGTTTTGATATTGCAGGATCTCATTCTCATCATATATTTCAACCATATCATGTTTATTTTATGTTTCTGACATTTAAATACAGATAAGTAAGTAGCAAAAAACATTCATAGTTAATATAAAATATACACGGATGTCTATGGAAGCAGCAATAATTATTTCAAATATAATTATTTGACAACGGTTTTTATTGATATCCGATACACAAATTGCATAGATAACTATAAAGTTTACTTTAATCTTAGAATATTGTAGGTACAAAATTAATAGTGCCAACAATAGTTGTTGAATATCTTAGTTTTGAAGCTAAATGTCACACAGCCATAGGTGATTTGTGCAGAACAATCATTTGGCTTGCGATGTCAGTGCTTATATGCTTTAAATGCATTTGTTTAAGCTACAAAATATGTGGAAAACTGATTCGATGCAGGATTTATAGTCCTTATATTCTGGAATAGCGACAGTAAATGCATTAATAATATATGTTCTCGCTTCAATTACTCAAAGGTATAATCGGATATGATGACACTGCAGTAATTATTACAGTTAAGTTTTATTAAAAATTATAATAGTTATTTTTATTTGGGGGTTAGTTTTTTCCACATAAAACACAAACAGTTGGTCAGAATGTACGTTAAAAATATATTTTTTTTCAGCATATATATTTGTTTTTGTTATGTAAAAAAACTTTCTTAACATTATAAGTGAACCTCAAGGAACATATTCAAATATATATATTTTTTTAAATCCTTTAAATCATGGATGACAATGACAAGGAACACTAATGCAAATGGAAAACTTTAAACCATGTTATAAAGTAATTCTGCTGGATAAGTTTTGTTACCTCTTGTTGGGGTGGATTCCTGTTCTCAACACTGTGTCCAACTGCTGATCTAAACTCAACCGCTATGGAGAAGATGAACACAAATGCAAGCTGGTAAAAGACTCAAGGATTAAAACCCAACATGCTCATGAGTTATAAAGTTTCATTTGCATTTATCAACAGTGAACACGCCTTAACACAACAGTGGTCTTAAATGAAGTATATTTCTGCTCTGTATCAGAAAAGCAGCATCTCCAGAGCCCAGCTGTGTGTCTTTGAAGAGTGACGCATCCATGGACCCTCCCCCTAAACTCAGTGATGGAGCAGTGACCTCTGACCCTGAGTGAGTATCAGTCTGTACTTCATTCAATTGCATCTTTTTTTTAAGGCAAGAATCAGCCGGGGAGCCCAATCATGTTCCTGGGGATCTACCTTCCTGCAAAGTTCAGCTCCAACCCTGATCCTTCACAACTGAAGCAGCTAATTGAGATCTTCAGGAGCACTTGATAATTACGGACAGGTGTGTTGGATCAGGGTTGGATCTGAACTCTGCAGATAGGTTGATCTCCAGGAGCAGGATTGAGCACCCCTGTAATAGGTCATAGGCTAACAAAGTACATTTGCAAAAACGTGTATTTGCAAAATATGATATCTACCTCTATTGATCCAATAAGCAGCATTCAAATGTGTAAACAAAGGTTCTGCTTTTCCGTGTATCCTTATGCATAATCATGAAACAATTATTTTATATAAATACGGAAATTATACATTTTCAGGGACTATATCTTAAAGCAAAAAATTAATACTAATATAGCAAACTGAAAAAAAAAAGTTTTTTATTTATTGTGTTTGTGTTGAAACATGGCATGCACAAGTGACAGGGCAACTCACATGGGAAAGTTCACTGTTAAGTTTACTGTTGTAGTCTGACAGGTAAAACGAGCTCATTAAATCCATCTACATGTAGGGGAGAGCCGGGACAGTTGCAACACATTTTTTTTTTTGTGATCAACAACTCACATATGTGTTCTCTTAGTATCGTGTGTTATTCGGTAGAAATATAGAATGATTTAAGTAAAAATTGACTTTGAACGAGAATTGTGCTTTGTTTCAATCAACCCTCCAGAGCGGGGCGATTGAAACACAGGGGTGGGACGGATGAAACATAACAGTTTAAACGGTAACTATTCATCTAATGCTTGTTTTTATGAACAATACCTGACAAGTAACTTATGTACATATTGTTACAAACATATTTTGTAATTTATTTTAATTTTAAGGTTCATATTAACATTTTTGTTCTGTCGCCCAATAAACAATAGGCGATAAGCCTTTGCGCATTTTGTGTAATCTTTAGACAGACAAATCCGTTTACAATTAATTTTCTTACATTTATTCGTTGAGTCATATTGAGTGATTTAGATATATTGAGTGTTTTCCTATGACCAGGTTTAACTGGCAGGAGTCGCTGTTTCAACCGTCCCGACACTGCCTCCTGCCAGTTAAACCTGTTTTGTCCTTAAAGCTGCCGTCGGCAACATTTTTTTGATCATATTCAGTGAAATCGACACTATAATCCGACAGAACAACATAATAAAGTGGTTTTAGAAAAAAACCCGAGCTTCTAACTCCACCTGGAGCGTGTTATTTGTTTTGCAAAAATCCACAGCTCCCGGATCATCGGGTCCAATCAGCGCAGGGGGGTGTGAGATCTGACTGTCAATCACAGATCGGGCACACGCCACCCCTCGCGCACGTTACAATCACATGCACACGCCGGAAGTTCGCGCAGTAACGAAGAGTGATGGCGGATGTATCTCGCTTTCAAAACACTAACAAATCAAGTAAGCTCATTTAGAGTATAAATGACGTTAGCAATTGCAATCTATCGGTAGATTAGCCAGGGCAGCATACCTCCAAATACTCCATGGTGTTGATGGATGCTGATGAGACGGGCGCGTTCACAGATAACCTGGTGCACACGCACTGACGAACACGAACTCGGTGGGAGGGTATCCGTTGATAGTGGGGGAGGGGCATGAGAGTTGTAAACATTCAAAATTTTGCCTAAGTCCACTCAATCTGCCAGACTTGCCGACTGCAGCTTTAAACTAAAAAACTCTGATATTACACACTTAAGGGTGTGTTGCAGTACTAATACACCTGCTGTATTATCATTACAATGGCACATGAAACAATAAATACAACTTGTCAGTCAAAAAAAAGTACCGCATGAAAGAATTCACTCACCACACTCAAAAACAGCTTTCCGGCTCTAACTTTAAAACGGCATGACTTAAAGAAGAAATGTTTTCGCGGGTCTGGTAGGCATTGCGTGCTGTACATGCTGACCAAATTTGACGTACATGACGTGAGTGGTTTTCATGGAAATCTCAATGTTTCATCCATCCCGCGTTTCAATCGTCCCGGCTCTCCCCTACTTTAAAAGTTCGATTTCAGTCAGACTAAACCAATAATTTGTCTTTTAAAAAATGTAATGTAAACACTTTAGTCTTAGTTTAGATCGGTTTGTAGACACGTTGTATCTGAAAGCTGTCTGTTAAACTGACACTTCTGTCTGAGTGTGGGATCAAATAAGATCTTAAAGTTTGGTTTGCTGGAAACATTTGTAATTACTATTCTGGAGCTACTTTTCACTTAAAGATGCTGTTTCACAGTCACAGTTTTATTTCTCTTTCTGCAGAGTGAAGAGAGATGATGTGATCAGATCCTGCACTCTCTCTTACTGGCAGACCCTCATCAAGCAGAGAGTCAAAGACCAGCACAAAATCAGCATGAAGAACCAGTTTGAAAGCTTATTTGAAGGAATCAAACTAGAAGAGAATCAAATTCTCCTGAACAGGATCTACACACAGCTCTACATCATAGAGGGAGAGAGTGAAGGAGTGAATGAAGAACATGAGGTTTTACAGATGGAGAAAACAGCCAGAACACAAGACACTCCAATCTACTGCAATGACATCTTTAAACCCTTACATCAACCAGGATGTGAGGCGAAAGACAACATCAAGACTGTTCTTACTAAAGGCATCGCTGGAATTGGAAAAACCGTCTCTGTGCAGAAGTTCATTCTGGATTGGACCGAGGGAAAAGCCAATCAGGATGTAGATTTCATGTTTGTGCTTCCATTTCGAGAGCTGAACTTGATTAAAGATCGCCAGTACAGTCTTCACAGACTCCTGCTGGACTTTCATCCTGAACTTCAAGATCTGGACTCAAAGATTTATGAGGAGTGTAAAGTTGTGTTCATCTTTGATGGTCTGGATGAAAGCAGAAAGAAACATATTTTTTCATATATAAAGAAAGTTTGTGATGTGAATGAGTCTTCATCACTGAGTGTGTTGATGTCAAACCTCATCAGAGGAGATCTGCTTCCCTCTGCTCATATCTGGATCACTTCCAGACCAGCAGCAGCCAATCTGATCCCCTCAAAATACATAAACCGTGTGACAGAAATCCAGGGATTCACTGATCCTCAGAAAGAGGAATATTTCAGGAAGAGAATCAGTGACGAGCTTCAAGCCAGCAGTATCATCTCACACATTAGAAGATCAAGAAGCCTTCACATCATGTGTCACATACCCGTCTTCTGCTGGATCTCAGCCACTGTGCTTCAAAACCTCCTGAAACAAGATGACAGAAATGCAGAAATTCCTCAAACTCTGACTGAAATGTACATCCACTTCCTGCTGACTCAGATCAACATGAGGAATCAGAAGTATGATGAGAAAGATCCAGAGAAAATCCTGAAGTCCAACAGAGACGTGATTGTGAAACTTGCTGAACTGGCTTTTAAGCAGCTGATGAAGGGCAATGTGATGTTCTATGAGGAGGACCTGATTGAGAGCGGCATAGACGTCACAGACGCCTCAGTGTATTCTGGGATTTGCACTGAGATCTTTAAGGAGGAATCTGTGATTCATCAGAGGAAAGTCTACTGCTTCATTCATCTCAGCTTTCAGGAGTTTCTTGCTGCTTTCTTTGTGTTCTACTGCCACGTAGTCAAAAATATGGGATTATTGAAGTTGTTTCTGAATGAAGGATATACAAGGTACAGTCAGAAAAACTCTCTATATGAGCTACTAAAAGCAGCAGTTAATAAATCTTTCAGGAGTAAAAATGGACACCTGGATCTTTTCCTGCGGTTCCTGCTGGGCGTCTCACTGGAGTCCAATCAGAGACTCTTACAGGATCTACTGACACACACAGTGAACAGCTCAGAAAACATGAGAGAAATCACGCAATACATTAAAGACATGATCAAGGATGATGATCGTCTCCTAGCTGACAGATGCATCAATCTGTTCCTCTGTCTGCTGGAAATGAAGGATCAGACTCTGTACAGAGAGATTCAGGAGTTTGCGAAATCAGAGAATCACTCATTGAATCGACTCTCTCCTGGTCACTGCTCAACAATCGTCTACATGCTTCAGGTATTAGAATTGCTGGATGAATTTGATCTGAAGAAATACAACACATCAGATGAGGGCAGAAGGAGACTGATACCAGCTGTGGTGAACTGCAGAAAAGCTCTGTGAGTATTCATTTATATGATTGATGAATGTGTCGGTTTTGTTGAGACAGTAATATTGCAATTCCTCCATCAAATCATGACACTGTTTTCTTTAAAATGGCTATACTTTAAAAGGAAATAAGCTTTTTGAAGAGGAAAAAACTGTTTTAGTGCAAACAGAAATCCAGAAAATTTGCACAGCAAAATCCTGAGTGTTAAATGAACACTCCTCGGTGTACATATGTGTCCAACTATAGGGTGTTAAAATTAACACTGAAACAGTGTTGAAGTTAATGAGATAATTAAGTGAATAATTAAGTGAAGATTGAGCATCATTGAAGATACCTGATGTTAATAAGCAGAATCATCGAAGGAAAGAGAAACAACAATAACAGAAAAAAGAGAAACACAATAACTACTGAGTTAGAACCATTTCACATTATTGCACTTATTATTACCAGTTTGACTTTATTTCTGTCATACATCTACACACGTTCTTATTTAGATTTAACAGAAGTTTAGATGGTAATGTTTTATGTAATGTTTCGTTTCAGGTCACCGTTATGGTGATCAGTGTTTGCTTTAGTTGGGCTCTTGACCCTTTACTTTTTTAATATTATTTTTTTTCTGGCTGCTCTAACTCTGTGTTTTTAAAGCACCTTTGTTGTGGCAAGAGAAATTATGTCCTGGGCAACGTTTCCCAAAAGCATTGTAAGCCTAATTTGATCATACAAACAACAAGTACACAGCAATTCAGCAAGTTACAATTTATTTAGATGTGATCCGTCACACCTGATCTAATTATTCTATTTATTAACCCAATCATTCAATAAACAGAGAAAAAAACCCAGTAAAATACAAAATAGTTAAAATATATAAAAATAAAATGAACAGAAAAATTAAAGCCGACCATTCCAACCCCAGCTCCTCAATGGCATTGGAGAGGACTCGGATGAGCTCGAAATCCCAGGCCCATCGCACCAATAGAGGGGTGCTGGTCTTCGTGGGTGAAGAGCATCCTCGCGCTTGTGGGGAGAGTGAGGCACAATAGAACTGAGCCGAAGTGACTGTGTCCTGTTTGCTCAGCCTAGCGACTCCTCTCTAGCCTGGCAAGCCAGACCTACATCAAGATATTAGGTCTGGGAACTCACAATTGGCATACCTCAATCCGAGGGGCGGGATAAACGGTTGTCTTTCAATATCCCTCGGCACACAATAGGACAGCGCTACAACCAACCAGAGCAACGAACGGCTGTGGCTGAGTGAGTCCCATGCGTTTTCCCACCAGCGGAGCTAGTTGATATATTAAACTTTTGCATTGTCCGGTCATCAAAACTCCGAACACATCTTCCTTTTTTAAGAATGACTTAAGTGACGTTCTCTTAACTCCAAGTCCTCCAGAGTCGCGGCCAAATCCGATTCGAAAGACCGCTGTTCGCCAGCAGCATCTTCTTTGTTTTCAAGTAGCAGGGAAATCACGAGGAACCGTCACAACTCTGCCGTCATTATGTTAAGCCCGCCCACCAACTCTATATACGATGTGATTGGCCTGACTAGAGTTTGGTTTTTCCAGCTCGAAAGCCGTCTAGATTTCTAGGCTAACTCCTCTCGTGATCAAAGATCGTGAGAGGAGGGGGAAGAGAACGAGAGAGTGAGAGGGGTGGGATTCATCAGGCTTCAGTCTTTTCGGAGAAAAGAGAATTTGGAGAAAGGGATTTCCCCCATAGTGTCAGCTATTGAGCAATGTTGAGAGACCGTTATCGAAAGGGAACAATATTTCAATCCGCCATCTCTTAATTAAAACATATTTCATCCTCTATTATAGACTTGCTGACTGTAATCTCACTGGTCAGTTCTGTGAAAGTTTGTCTTCATTTCTACAATCATCAAACTCCTCAATGAGAGAGCTGGACCTGAGTAACAATGACCTGCAGGATTCAGGGGTGAAGCTTCTGTCTGATGGACTGAGGAGTTCTCACTGTCAACTCAACATACTGAGGTAAGAAAAACATTGAATGGTTCACATGGTTATGAAATTAAAGATGCCTTCTGATCCCGGTCCCAGGGGCGTCAAATTTAATAGGGACGCTAGGGACAGAAGTTCCTACCAATACCCAGCAACAGCTGAATCGTCCCTAGCCATAATTTTGCAATTAAAGTGAAATGTGAAAATTATGCAGTGTAGTCAGCTTAATTGATCATAACGGGAGTTTTTGCGAGACTGGCTAAAGTCATTGACTGCTTCAGTGATGGGAACGTTCTTTACTTTCTTTCTGTACATAATTTATTCCCAATTTGAATAACAACAGTCATGCTACTAAGTGAATCAGTGGTGAAGTCTTGATTTACTAATGCTTAAAACAGCAATAAACTAATTCATAAATGGTTCTCAGCTTGTTTTGTCTGTGTATAGTGTGCTGTTCCTCACACGCAAAAACATTTGAAACGTATTATATTATTTCACATTAATAGTCATGACGAGTACAATATCAAGGGGCAATAATCGACAACAGTGATTTTTGTCATAATCGTGCATAAACATGCTTGCTCTGACCACCTCTGTCCTATTAAAGGCAGCTCTGATGCCACTTGGTTCTGTGTAAATAAAAAGAGGCATCAGAGAAACATTCAACTTTTTGTCATGATTGTGCTTTTTGATAATTTATTCATTATTCATATACTTTGTATTTAAAATTAAATTAATTTCATAAAATTATTCAATTATTGTGTAAATACATTTATGCCACATTTGAGCAGCTTGTACATAAACAAATGCCATGCCAGATGTACATGTAGCTTCTGTTCCAGCTTTACAGTGTAAAGACAGCGGCTTTGGTAATTTTACCCATATCCAAATTAAACTACATTGCCAAATATTCCTTTTTACTTTCCAAGACACTAAAACTGATAATATATATGTGTGTGTGTGTGTGTGTGTGTGTGTGTGTGTGTGTGTGTGTCTGTCTCTGTTTAGATTATCTGGCTGTATGGTGACCGAGAGAGGCTGTTGTTTTCTGGCTTCAGCTCTGAGTTCAAACCCCTCACACCTGAGAGAGCTGGATCTGAGCTACAATCACCCAGGACAATCATTAGTCCAGCTGGTCTCTGATCCAAACTACAGACTGGACAAACTCAAGTATGTTCAACACTAACAATCATCCTGTCATGTGGATGTGCTATAAACTCATATGTACATAGATATCTGCATACAGCACATATACACTGAACAAAATTATAGACACAACTCTTTTGTTTTTGCCCCCATTTTTCATGAGCTGAACTCAAAGATCTAAGACTTTTTCTATGTACACAAAAGGCCTATATTTCTCAAATATTGTTCACAAATCTGTCTAAATCTGTGTTAGTGAGCACAATGGCTGGCCACAATAAAAGGCCAGCTCGTGAGTTCAGCTCATGAAAAATGGGGGCACAAATAAAAGTGTTGCGTTTATAATTGTGTTCAGTGTAGGCCTACATACATACTGCACAGGAAAATAACTGAAGATCTTGATTCAGATCAACAGCTGATTGTGACTCATAACAGCAGCATCTGAGAAACCAACTCAAGTCTCTGATCCCAAAACATATTCAAAGCTTGTTGCTGCTCTAGAAAGTAAACTCTAATTGCTGTCAGAGACATGAAGCAAAAACATCCAAGATACAGACACAGAGATCTCAGTCTAAATGAGAAGAAATGATGTTTGACCTCATGATACTGAATAAAGCAGATCAGCTGAACAGTAGGAGGTTTCTGCAGTTAGCAGATTAATATCAGATATTGATTAAAACACTTGCACAAATGAAAGGATAAAGACAGAAATTATCAGTGAATGTAAAGGTGAAGTCTGTAGCTCAAGGCTTGAGGATCTTATCTAATGATAAAGGCTGTGAATCAGGAACTACATCAAATGCTGGACGACAAACAAAGGATCTCAAATGATCCTCATCAGAAGAGACATCGACCTGAGTTTGGAGATATTGGGCCCTATTTTAACGATCTGAAACGCAAGTATCAAGCGCGAAGCGCAAGTAACTTTGTGGGCGGGTCTTGGGCGCTGTTGCTATTTTACCGGCGGCATAATTGACTCTTGCGCCCGACGCAAGTTTAAAAGGGGTTGGTCTGAAGTAGCTTCATTATTCATAGGTGTGGTTTGGGTGTAACGTGAAATAAACCAATCAGAGCGTCATCCAACATACCCTTTAAGAGCAGGTGCGCATGTTGCATGGCGGATTGTTATTATTATGGCGGATTTACCAGGCGCGCCAGGAGCGGTTCACAGCAGAGGAGACCGACGTCCTTGTCAGGGCAGTGAAAGACAGAGAAGTGACGTTGTATGGGGATGGGAGATTTTTTTTTCCTGGTTCTTGACGGACAAACTAATTTGTCAGATGTCCTTATATACATATGTGTCTTGCCACTATTGGGCAAACAGGTCTGATCCGTCATTACTACAATTAGCCTGAAAAATTTGGGTAAATGTGTAAGCTAGATTTAGACCTACATTTTTTACATCTTCATGGACACCACAATGATTTCCCTCACGTGTTAATATTTTTCCTTGTTATAATGTATGATTTGCAAAAATAAAAACTGCTGCATCTGTGATGATGAGAGAATCAAAGTGTATGCGCGTTGTGCACCCGCTACATTATGGCCAAGCATGCGCGCTTAAAATAGCATCTGAATGTACGCGCAACGCGCCACTGGCGGAATTGTTTTCTGGAACTGTAAAATAGCACTAGGGAATGTTTGCGCCGAAACACGCCTCCTTTTTGCGCCGACCCGCCCAGGGAGCGCAAGTTCATTTCCTAGTTTACCGACGTGCTTCTGTGGAGAGAAAAGCCCGCTTTGCGCGGGTGCAAAATATGAATGATACATGCGTCAGTGTACAAAGTCATTTGCGCCGGGTGCAAGATAGGGCCCATAGACTTAAGATACACGATAACTTTGTGTGACGAACAGACCAAAATTAATTATTAACATATTCCTTATGAGCTCAATTCAGACTAACATGATTGAGATGAGAGAATAATTTTCAATGTAATAACCACTTTTATTATTATGTAAATTGACTGTGACATCTTGTTTTTATAGTCTGGATCATGGCGGAAAGTTCAGGACTACAAAAGGACTAAAGAAATGTAGGTCACACACTTAGTCTTAATCGTTGTTTTGTTGCGTTATAAACGTTATAATCTCTCTCCTTGTGTTCAGATGCATGTGATCTCACTCTGGATTTAAACACGGCAAACACTCGTCTCGCTCTGTCTGAGAGGAACAGTAAAATTACACGTGTGAAAGAGGAGCAGCCGTTTCCTGATCATCCAGAGAGATTTGATGAATGGCCTCAGGTTCTGTGCAGAGAGAGTCTGACTGGACGCTGTTACTGGGAGACTGAATGCAGTGTGTGGGCTGATATATCAGTGACGTATAAAGGAATCACCAGGAGAGGAACAAGTGAGGACTGTTGCTTTGGATGCAATGAAAAATCCTGGAGTCTGAACTGGTTTAATAACAGTTTCACTTTCAGACACAATAAGGAGAGCACAGAAATATCTGTCCCTTCACATCCCTCTAACAGAGTAGGAGTGTATGTTGATGTGTCTGCCGGCACTCTGTCCTTCTACAGCGTCTCTGACACACACACACTCACACACTTACACACATTCAACTGCACATTCACTGAACCTCTCTATGCTGGATTTGGGGTTTGTAGTAGTGGTGGTTCAGTGTCTCTGTGAGATTAAACAGCTTCCTGTGAGAAACAAGTGAGACACAGTTGAGTAAAAGAAAAACACTCACATTATCTCTCTCTTTAACTCACACAGCTGTAAACTTTTTCTCTCTTCAAATCATAATTTATAGAAACTTACACACATTGACTTCGGTCTAAACGAGACACACCACAGACTTCTATTGTGTTTTTATAACATCTGAATGAGACTCAACAAGAGTTTTGTCTTTCTGAGTCTCTGAGCACCACCTGGAGGAAGATTTATTAAAAAAAAACAGGAAACAGTTCTTAGCAACTGCTTGCTCTGTTACTATGGTAACTGAGTGCCAGGTCAGAGTTCATCTTCTAAACACAATTCATTACAAATGTTAAAGGCTATGGAGCTCATCTTATGCTCCATGTGGAAGATTCATGTCTCTTCCCGATCACTGTTTCTCAACTCAACTGTCTGTCTCACATTGTTCAATAGAGTTGAAGATGTGGATCAAACTCGTGTCAGATTTAGTCTTTGTAGAGACTCAATGATCAGGAGAGTTTGAGAATCTCTCATAGTTGTAGAATTTGAAAACATTCAATGATCAGCTCGTGTCTTGAGCTCAACATTGTTATGAGCTGATATTTTATCCTCAAATTATATATTTTGTCCTGATGCTTCCAAATGCTTAAAGCCATTTAATAAAAACATTGTCATTTTTAAATTAATGAGCAATAAAATGTATTTTGTCATAAAATGTGTTTTTTCCCCTTCATTTATTTATCACATAAACAGACGAAATCACACATGAGTCAACACTAGATAGTAAAAAAAATATGTTTGTAATGTCAAATGTTTATTATAAATATATTTTAAAAAATGTGTCAAATATGGATTACAACCATTTTCAAATCTAGCATTTATCAATGTGTCTGTTTTCAAATCTAATGGCAGGTGAAGTTGTGGCACATGTTTTGTCTTAAGAATCAGTGACGGGATGTTTGATATTTAAATGGTTAAATGAGTGAATCCAGTGTAGTTCATCTCTCCACCAGAGTCTCTGTCACTCTTATTGAAATCCAACACGTGAACAAATGCAACACAATTCAATTTTCATGTGCTTATTATTTATTTATAACGTCATAGTATTGCTAATGTTGCAGTTTAATGTGTTAATCTAAGCATAGCCTATAAATACAGAGATACTGCAATACTTGCAGTTTCAAGAAGTTTTTATAAAAGCCTATTCCACTGTATAGGCTACATAAGCTATGTTTTGTAATTTCTGTTTTTCGTGATTTCACAGGAGATATTTCAGCAGAAATTAATTTGGTAACACTTTACTTGAAGGGGTGTGCATAAGACTAACAAGGCACCTTCATAATCATGACATGACACATGTTATGAATATGAAGGAAGTTTTATGCATGTTTGTGACAACTGTCATTAAGTGTCATTCGCTCAATTATGACATTTTGAATGCAAATATGACATTGTTTGAGATGTCTTTGTTATGACACCTTGACATAAACCAATACATCATAACCTGTCAGTGTCTTTGTCATGACAACTTGACATTACTAAGACAACACAACCTGTCATAAACATGACCTAGCAGATTAATGATCAAACTTAAGAAAGCACTTAGCTTTATTGGTTAACATTACATTAAACTGTCAGGTGGTTGGTTTTGACATTGGCTGTCATGAAGCATTATAACTGTTTAATGACAAATTCAATTTGTACCACTGTAGTTGAGGTCACGAAAAATATTCATGACACAGTTATAATGGCCTTATGACAGGCAATGTCAAAACCAACCACATGACAGTTTAACTTAATTTAATGTCAAGTTGTCATGTCAAAGACACTGACAGGTTATGATGTTATGGTTTATGTCAAGGTGTCATAACAAAGACATCTTAAACAATGTCATATTTGCATTCAAAATGTCATTACTGAGCGAAAGACACTTAATGACAGTTGTCATAAACATGCATAAACCCTACTTCATATTCATGACATATGTCATGTCATGGTTATGAAGGTGCCATGTCAGTCTTATGTACACCCCTTCAAGTAAAGTGTTACCATTAATGTTCTGATATAAGGAGAAAAAGGTTATTATTCACATATTCCTGTGAGATCAGTTTTCATCTTTGCAATTTAAGAATGTTACTTAATTTAGTCTCTTTATGATACAAAATTACCACGAGTGTTTAGATGAGAGATTCTTTGTGATATTCATAGTGACCAGCAGAGGTCGCACTAACCAAATGTACAGGAACACTAATAATAGATCATTACAAATGTTGTGTATCAGATAAGTAAATGACAGAAAACCATTTAAACATCGTTTCAAGGGGTTTTTCCGATGATGGATAAACACAACCTGAAGGAGACGATTTCATTGATCAACAACTTCAATTTCAACTGAAATGTTTGTCTAACCCTTTTAATGGAGTAATAATAAATCCATATAATAACCTATATTATGACGGGCTCCCATAATATATGATCTGTGTTTGAACAGGGAGTTCTATATAAATAAAGATGACTTGACTGCATAAAACACAATACTCCTGTAGTGCTGTTTTTAAAAGAGCCAATATTTCTCATTCATTTTCATTCATGCACTGATTTACATGGTCCGTTCACTGAAGTCTGTGCTTGACTGCTTTCCTGCAGTCTTATTGGACCAAATGTCAATAATATCAAGTGACATAAGTGCTGTCAGACATTGCCAATGCTATTTACTGGCTGGTTTGTACATCTATATGTATTTATTTGGCTGATTGATTGATTTTCTTGCCAAGAAAATAGCTTTCAGCTCTGACATGGCATTAAGCAATCCTTCAAGCTTACTAATAACCAAATGATCTCGCTAACAACTCAGTAGCTTTAAGATAAACTTCAACCCCAGGTCATATTAGATAGTAAAACAAAAACTTAATCAGTTTTGGTTACAGATCATGTGATCTTGACTGTTCCTGTATGTGTTTATAGATTATTTGTGGATTATCTAAAGAGATAATCGTACAATAAAATGAAATGAGTAAAATGAAGCTGCAAGCTCTTTTAAACATGCTGGTGTCAACTGGAGCTGGTTAATTTCCCATGATGCATTGCAGTCTTCTTCTTAATTAGTTTGTTTTTATAACAGTGCTGAGACCTGAAATCTCAAAGTAAACCTTGATGAAAAAGGGTTTAACTCATTTTCATAAATTCATTGTAAGTATAAATGTTTAAGCTATAGCAAATTCAATGTCCAATAGTGTTTGAGCAAACATTACTGTGTCACAAGTGTGTATGCCACTAGCAACACCAAGGTCTGGGGTCGATTCCCAGGGAATGCATGAACATATCAGTTATACCTTGAATGTAATGTAAGTCTCTTTGGATGAAAGCATCTGCCAAATGCATTAATGTCGTGGTTTTAGTTAAATATTGTGGCCACGATATTCTTCCGCATGTCATGTGCGAGGCTCCGTATTTACAACCTCAACAAGTGAAAAATAGAAATTTCAGTAAAACAGACGTCTGTCAGTTCTTTCAAGATGTAAATATTTGTATTATGTTTAACATTATAACAGACTGAGATGTGAGTCTGACAAAAAAAAAAAACGGAAATCTGTAATGATTCATTTGATTTGAGTGTAAATAAACAGTGAAGATTCAGGATGTGCTGATATTGTCAAATGCATGTGATGAACAGATAAACACAAACTAATCTCACTAGTATGCCAGTAAAGACAATTCATGAATGCTTGATCCCCCTATTGTGACCTATTGCTTACATTAATTCATTGTTTTATTATTTCTAGATACATTTTATTTTTAGATGCTTTGATAACCGGGGTGGGTTCAAATAAGTTTGACTTGTACCCACTCCGTTTCGAGCAATAAATAGAATTATTTGTTAAAGTGGATGAAAGTATGATGAATTTAAAGGCTTGTATAGACTAATAATATGCTTCTTTATTGCCTTTGTCATGTGCAATTATATATTGCAATAAATAAAATAAATAAATAAATAAATAAATAAAATAGATGCTGTAAACAGTCCTGCAATGTGATTAAATTATTTGATCATATTTTCAATATTTAATAAATTGAAAAAATTCCCTATTAATTTGAGGTCATAAATAATTAATCTATCAGCAATATGTTGTTTAAAGTTGTTTTTGAATAATGATGAACGGTTTTTATAGAGTTCTATACATTTTTTAGAGAATAAAAAAATCTGTAAATTGTGTTTTATATTTATTTTAACTTACTGTTTCTATATAGCTTACTATACACATGCTTTATTCTCAATTTTTCTTACATTAAAATAATGAGCTTGGATTACAAATTTGAATTTGACTATTAAGCCTTTCAACTGTAAACACCTTTGCTGTTAAAACTTGATGCACCTGCACATTCTCTCTGTCACGACAGGTGGCGCTGTGTGTTTAGTAATGATAGAGTTAAAGGGGCAGAGCAGAAAGAGTGTTACACACACACACACACACTTCAAACACACACATGTCGAAGAGCCGTCCTCCTCCTCCCCAGTGTGTGCACGAGCATGAAGGATTCTGTGTCCGCCAGTGTTACACACACACACTTACACACACACACACACACACACACACACACACACACACACACGTCGAAGAGCCGTCCTCCTCCTCCTCAGTGTGTGCATGAGCATGAAGGATTCTGTGTCTGCCAGTGTTACACACACACACACACACACACACACACACACACACACTGTTCGGTTGTCCATCGAGATCCGATGATGACGTCCACGCCTTTAACGGTGAGATCTTTGATGACTAAACAGTCCTATCCTGGACCCACAAGCTCTATTGCAGGTGGGGCATATGTATGTGATGGTGGTGGTGGTCACATTGGCAGCTATGGCTGCCTTTCTCCTGGCTCGCTTCTGCTGTTTTCTGGTTGTCCTCTCCATCTCTAGTGTACAAACCCCCTCTCCACATAGCTGTCGCCAGATGGTGCGGTCAGCAGCAACATCCTCCAGATCCTCAGGTCTGATCTTACACTTTCTCAAGGCGTTCTTCATCTGATCTTTATAGCGCTTCTTCGGACCCCCAGCTGAGCGTCGACCATGATGTAACTGGCCATATTGTACTCTGCGG